TTTGGGACGACCGGTAAATCTNACCCCTTCGCGCCGGACTGAGCGAATTGCCTCCGACGATTTTTTCTATGGTGTNACGGAGCAGTCCCTCCCTCTCCCCCCCCCTCCTCCTCGGTTTATTGATTCTATTAGCCGCGATAAAACTGCGCGCGTTTCTGAAATTTACACGCGGATTTCGCTGAATACGACGCGCGCGATGCCACGTTACCACGTTGAAATGGTAGGATTTACATTCATTCCGCAAATGTCTCCCATTCTCCGCATTTTCGAGCGGGGGAGAGCGCTTCGGATTTTGGGGATATCGACGCAGCTTTGTCTATTAAACCGCCGCGCTCTCGCAATCGTCGAGGGATGGCACGGCCGCGAGGTGAGAGAGGAGTGAATAGTGACATTTTTCCGACGTATTTCGTGGCACTGAAAAAGTTATTGGTAAAAAATTATTAACTTTTTGTTAACGCTGTAATTGCAAAATTCAGCTTTGGCCGAAGTAAACTTTTCAAAATTGTGTTCTCGCGACGGTATAAATAAATGCATAAACTCGGGCAGAGGCGAATACCCGCGAATGTCGGGGGTATACCATTAAAAATTGCTGAAGCATCAAAACGCGCGGCATTATAAAATGGCAAAATTAATATATAGCGGCAAAAAAAAAAGCGGTATCGGATTTTAAACTTTTTCCGCGGAGTTTTCAGCCTCGGGGAAAAGTGCGGGACAATGTTCCCGCGATTTTTACGTTATGCACATTAAAAAGTTAACGCGGGATCTCTGTCTGCTCGGCCAACTCCGCGGAGATTTCTTTCTTAACGACTTCCCGGGGAGGGCACGTATATCGTAAAATATCCCGCAGAGAATCGTCTGGACCGAAATCAGCGGGGTAGGAGTTAGCAGCGCGCTTTTCGCAGAGCCTTTAAATCCTCCCCCCCCCCCGGTTTCCTTCTAAGATACGAAAGAGACGGCGATAAACGCTTACCGCTCCGCGCGCCGAGCGAGCGCCTGTTGACTAATAATTTATTAATGCTTATGCAACAATGCATGAGCCCGTAGTAATTTGCATACGTTGAATTTCGTTAGGTAAATACACGCGCCGGTTAACATGCATTAATAATGCGCGCGCGGGCCGATAATCGGATATATTTCTGAAAATTTTACTGCGTTATTAATGCGACCGCGTACATACGTAACATATATACGTCCGAATTGCTTTATCGCGCGTGCGTATGTCATCCATTTGAATATATTTGAATATCGCGAAAAAAAACGCGCGCCCTCCACTTTACGTTACGAAAGCTTCGCAGTCACGAGCCGATGCGCGATATTGATATTAACACCGATAATATTGCCGAATTCGACGTCACCGCGAACGATGAAGACACAGTCAATTCGAATATTAATTTACGAATTTACAAATATTGTAAGTAAATAAAGTATATATATATTATGTAAATTAACGCGTGTTAGGATAAGATATTAGATCAGTTCCACTCAGCGCTCATCACGGTGTCGCACACAATCTCGCAATTTTCGAATGTTCTCGCTATTATAATAGACAACAATGGAAAGTCCTAATTACACGGAAAATTAGTTTCGAGCACTGCCGAAGCTCCGTCGGTCGTGCTCATCATCGTAGTGAATTAGCATGTTATTACAGAGTATAAGTATATTATTTAGAGAACCAAGTCAGAAGCTGAGGGCCCTTCGGAAGAAAAATATAAAATATAAACAGTTAATACCAATTAATTCAATTTTTTCTGTTTGATCATAGATAAAGATTAAAGATTTATTTTTATTTACATGTATATAAAAAAATAATGTGTCAGTATAGGCTTAACAATAAATTGAAATTATGAATACAATGAAGGACAATGAGCCAAGAAGATTTTAAACATTCAACAATATATCTCAAAATGATTAAACATTTACCACAAACCAAAATTTGATGGCTTACAATTAAACCATCCCCCATAGGAATTACAAATCATAATTACTCATGTAATCATGTCATAATTGCTAATTAACGTTATACAGTGCATCTTGTTCTCTGCAGTCAATGTTATTCGCAATCGCAATTTTTTAAGAAAGAATCCAAATATTAAAATTAATTATTAGTCTCCTTCCTTCAAAGAAATGTTTTGTAAATTATAGTTATTAGAATGTTGTCTTCATTCAAATAACTGAAAGTTGAAATTAAACTTATAATCTCTTAACTTGAGGCGAAGATATGACTTGTTGTTTGTGGCGTACCTACAAATACACGCAAAAAAATGATTTAGTAATAGTAGCTAAATTTCAATAGCTGAATCAAGCTTAGCTATAAGAGCTACCGCCCTTTAGTGTCATTGTTAAGTTCTGTCTATTACAGATAAAAAACATTCACTGTGACAAAAGAATTTATTAATTGAAATTAAAAGCATATATTAGTACAGGCAGCTAAAAAGATGGCATGCGTACTTAAATGTCTTATCATGCACACATTTAGCACACAGAGTTAAAGTTTATAACTGCGCGCGAAAATTTAATTTGTAATTGTTTTTGCAATGTGGCATTACCATATGCACATCTACAGCGCATTTAGCATTTATATTTTGCAGTATGTAAGCTATATACTGCAAATATTATTATTCTATTGCGAAGATAAAATAGCATAGTGGATTCGTCTAAATATCATTTGATTTTAGCAGTAAATATTTTTTGCTGTATAGCATCTACATTTTAATAATAACTAATAAATTGAACTTCGACAGCAACGACATTAGCTGTCCCTATTTTAACAACACATCTTAGCTGCCATAGCTATATTTTAGCTTCATTGGCTAATCCTTTTTCTGCGTGTAGGATCAAATAAAAAATATATATATTAATTCGCGATATAATAATTCGAGACGCACACGAAAAGAACATTTTTGCTAAATCCAGATCTGAAAATCATTTTTGTTCAATAATCAAAATAATTTTGTGCAAAATGATTGCTAAAATATCAAAACGTTTTACAGCGATGCTTATCAGTTTTAACATTCCAACAAATTATTTTGATGATTTAATAAAAAATTATTTTCAGATCTGTATTTAGCAACATTTTTAGATCTTTCAACAAAATTGTTCTTTCCGTGCAAGTGAAAGAAGTTCGAATCTACATCGCATTATAAAAGTGACACTCTTCTAACTCCTCGTATTCCCTTCTTCTGCTTTCAGAGCACCGCAACTCCTCGCCGCCGCGATTCAACGAGCGAGTGAATCCCGGGCCGATCCGCACCGGCGAGACGATCGTGCTGTCGTGCATCTCGCAGGGCAACCCGCCACCGACGTACCTCTGGTTCCGCGAGTCCGTGTCGGGCACGACGATGGTCTTCAACTCGGAGAGGATACACGCGCGCGCCGGCGTCCTGGTGCTGCAGCCGGCCCGGGTCGAGGACGCCGGCAGATACGTCTGCCACGCGAACAATACCGCCGGCTCCGAGCGGGTCGAGCTGGAAGTCACTATCATAAGCAGCCTCTCCATCCATCTGGCGCCTCAACAGGTTCGTTATTCGATCTCTTTTCCGTCTCTTTTTCTCCCGACGACGCCTTCGTGCGGACGACCCAATTCACGTGCCCATTTCGCGCGCGTCTTATCGCCTTTTCCATTTCGTTTTCTCTCCCTTTCTGTCGACAGTGTCGACAATAGAAATATCGATCGCTCGACGTAGGTTTTATTCAAATCTGAACATTTGACGGTGTAATTGACAATTAATTAACAATTTCAATACAAGCAATTTAAGTTCTTTTAATATTCCGGCTAGAACTTTTAGAAAAAGTGCTTAGAAAATTAAACATAATTTTTTATATTTAATTATTTATTGTATATAAAAAATTCTGAATATATTAGTTCATTTTTTTTCTATTTGATTATAGATAAAAATTAAAGATTAAAAAAAAATAATATGTGTATATATATATATATATATATATATATATACATATATATATATGTATAATATATGTGTATATATATTTCTTTGAAATGTGACAATTGTCTAAACTCTTTTTCCTGATTGAAGTGATATTTTTCGCAATATATAGATGCCCATTTACATTATTAAATTGCTTGTCAATTTAATTATGATATTACGTAATCCAGATTTAGTTTGGAGTTGTTTCAAAACCAACAAAATATTCAGCTCGCAATTTACCTGAACTGGAAATTGTAAGATTCACATAAAAATATTGTTATTAAGCATCTTTAGATCGCATTTGGCGTTCCTTTAATCCTGTTTAAATTCTTTCTATTTGAAATATTTTTCTCTGAAACACGGATAATATCCTTATAGAGGAAAATTCATGCCTTAAGCTTTATAGCTTTATGGTATATTACGGTATATCGAAAATATATCTTAAAACTGAAAAATTGTAAAACATCGAGCGAGCTTAAAATGGATTTCGCGCGAGATGTAAATTGACGGAAATAGCTAGCTGGCAAAGCGAGGAAAAGTTTTGGCACGACTTTTAATGCCTCCGGGACGAAATATAAAGATTGGCCTGATATACAAAAGCGAAAATATTGCTCGGTTTGCTTTTTCCGTAGGAAAAGCGGGACAGGTGTTTCTATAAGCGCAGATTTCACTCTCTGTTTTCACTTTACACATAATTACGCAACAAAATACAAATTGTAGTTTATATTAACAGGCATGCAAATTAATTCCGGTCTCTCTTTTGAGGCGTGAAATGGTACGCAAACACTCTCCGCACAACGGCGCGAAGCTTGAGCTTCGCTTTCCCAAATAATGTTCAAATCTAAGTTTCGATTGTAATAGCGCGCACCCTTTGTTCAGCCCGTAATCGCCGTAGAATACAGCTATTTCGATTTCGAGCGAAGTTAAACCCCAAGTTCATCCCCGTTACTCCGAGAACGAGAGATAGTGGACTTTGGACAATCTCCGGATAATTGGGTCGAACATCAACGTTACATCACTGTGCAGTTACCCTCGCCGGCCATCCGTCTTGCGCCGGTGTCGGTTTACATGCATTTCCTCTCTCCCAAGTTTCGCACAAACAAATGTAATCTTTCTTTCTCTTCTTCCCCCCCTCCCCCTCTCTTCGCCACCGCGCCGCGTATATTAAGCGCGCGGTCGCGTTTCGGCTGAGAACTCTCGCGCGAGGACCGCGCGAAGTCTCGCGCTATAGTATCGCACACTTTCAAGCGTTTATGCTGGATATCTCGCTTTGCAGTAACGTATTTATCATCTCGACTGTTGCAATAATCCGAAATAGACTTCTATTCTGGGAAACGAATGAATTCGCGCTAGGGTCTCCGCGAGGCGGATAAGAACGTAGGAGAATTATCGTCATACATTTTCGGGAGGGGCGGAGGCGGGGGAGGAGGGGGGAGGGAGGAAAGGGCTCATGAATAAAATCCATTTCATCCAGGCTCCGAAGCCTTAAACCCGGCGAAGTAATTTCGTCGAACTCTCTTCGGGAATCGATGCGAAATCCCGCTCGCTATCTCTTTCCCATTTAACAATCTATCTATAGCGTCGTTGGGCGGTAAATAAATGACAATCATTATTCCGGCTGTCATCGCGCGTGACGGCCTCCGCACGCGTCCGGCGCTTCGCCATCGAGCGGATTAAGAATCTCGAGGCGACGACACTTCTCGACGATACCGACGATAATCTTTCCGTTCACGTAGCGCTCGATTCCCCCCCCCCCTCCTCCTGCCCCCCCTCTCTCTCACCGTACTCATCCTCCGTTTTCTCGACTTTTCCGAACCGAGCAACTTCTCGTGAATCCGCGCCTCGTCGCAAATGACTCGGGCGTTTCTATTGTCCGCGCCTCTTTTCCCTCGGCCTTCGAGATCCAGCGCGCGACAATTGTCGCCAGTTTTCCCCGGAGGGGCGCGAGGGGCGCGGTCAGAGAATCTGCATCTTACTTACCGCCATTCGGCGGTGATTTCGCGAAATTCACATCTTCGAGATTTTCCACGTTCTCTCTCTCTCTCTCTCTCTCTCCTGCGACTTCGACGACGGCATTTACGAACGAAATTGGTATTTATCCAGAAAATGCGGCGAGTTTTGCATCAAATCGCACTATATAAGCACTTACCCTGCAAGTTACGACCGCGTTTCTTGAGAGACTTCAATATCTGAATGGGGTGGCCATTTAAAAGAGCGTTTATCACATCCGTAATTCAAAAATTGAAATTTAACGATAGTTAAATTTTTTATCCAAATTCTAATTTAAAAAAGAATATCATTTCTAAAACAGAGTAAACAATCGAAAGTATAATTGTCGCTCATAAATAAATTGTTGAACGCAAAACGGGAGAAGATTGGTTTTCGTCGCATTTCGCTGTATCGATATTCGTTATTGGGATAAATGTTTTCAAAATCGCGCGCGTGTGTACAAACTTTTTGCATGTAATTTGACAGGTGCGTTAATACATTATCAAAAAAAAACAAGCATAAAAACATGTGGTATACACATTTTGAAACATGATACACCGCCAGCGGCAATGCACGCGACCGATTCTGCTCTTACATTGTGATCGCGGGCCGATGATAATCGCCAATATCTTCGCCCAGAAAAATCGCAGCGAGATGATCTTGATGTCGTTCGGAAGCCAAGATTCCAGCGCTCTTCCAACGAGTATAAGATCGCCTATCTCAGACGACGCAGTTTGCGAGATATTGTCGATGATAACAAAGCTAAAGTCGACTTTGCTCCAATCCCCTTCGTTTAAAAGCAGAACATCGTATGTTTTAATTAATCTATTATGCTTATTTAATAATCTTAATTTAATTAATCATTTCTTTATGCCAAATTTTTTTATCGCAAGGAGATTAAAAATTATACAATACTTTAAGTTATTTATATTTACAGCCCCACTCTTACAATTCAGAATCTAATAATATCTCGATACCTTTTACGTAAAAAAACTTTTTACTTCAGACTAATTAAAGAGCATCCATAAAAGATTTGAAATTCTCAACTTGCTTTACTGTCAAGAGTCTCCAAACACTTTATTCGCGATTTCTTCGCGTCATTGTTGCAAAAGCACTCGATTCTGCTTGCAGATTTGTAGGCCACGCAGGATGACGGTTCGTTGTCTTCGTGATTTCATTAAGCCATCCACAAGAAGGTTCTATAAATCTCTCGTTTTCTCTGTGCACCTCCTATTTTGCCTCCTCCCTCTCTTCTCTTTAGCTGCGATATATAGATGGGGGGGGGCGAATTTCCTCCGAGAGGCAGCTTGGAATAAATTCGAGCCGACTCCGGCGGCGAGTGACTAATTCTCAGCGACGTGGATAATCGAGGGATCGCGCGCGCCTATAGTACTGTGTAAACAACGGCGAGAGAAGGCAGAGGAAGCCCGGAAGCGCGAACGCGCCTCGCCTCGGCCCGCGTGATGCCGCCGTATAAAACATATGACGCTTCATCCCGTGAACACGATGAATCCCGAAGTTGTCCCGGGCCACTTATTCCGCCGGGTCAAATTATCGCTTTCGTCCGGAGATCGCCCGATCGGGCTTGGCGGGTTCCGCAATCGCGGCTCACTTTCTTTTTCGGGCAAGAGCCCGAAAAGTTTCTTACACCGGAAAAAGAAACCGGTTGCGTTAAATTTAATAGATTCAACTGGTACTTATGTCTGTTCGAAAATCGACGAATTAGAATTCCTGTAGCATTTATTAGACAAGTATGATTAATTTTTTCCTATTAAATCTATCAGAATTTCTTGTCGATTGAACAATTTATTCCTGTTAGTTGTTGAATATATCAGAATTTCTTGTTGTGTGATCGAGTCTTTTATATTAATATATTTTAGCACGAAATAACTTCCAAAAATTATTTATAGATTCTTGAATTAATTTTGATACAAAAATATCGTACCTCCAGTTTCCAAATTTCTTAAATACTTACGTTTTCTTCGATATTTAAAAGGGATCGAAGACTTCGATTCCAATGAAATATCAAAGGAAACAAAAGTATTAAAAAAATTTGAAAACAAAAAGTACAATATTCTATATCAAAATTAATTAAAGAATTTAATAATTGAAAATCTTATGATGTTGGGCCTTTTATACTCTTGTGTATGATTCTGAAATACGAGAATTGAACACCACCACGTCCATCTCGTGGCGATCCAGCGTACTACTCACAGAGAACGTCTACTGAATAGAACAGAAATTTTGTAGATCCAACTGGAAAATAACCAAATCCGTAATAAATTCGTAATAAAGTCTATCAAACGTTCTAGTGACCAAATATCGAATCCTATTATTATAATCAAAAATTCTATTCTTGAGTTTCACTAAAATTTATGCAATCATATACGTCTTGTTGGTATAATATATAATATCATTTTACTCGACGTTTACGAATCTCGCTAACTTCCGGAAACGATCCTATTACGCTTGATACTTGGAAGAAATTTGACTCGCGACTTTCTTAGAATTTTTGCACGCTCTCTTGCTCTATCGGTTTATAAGTTTAATCCTTCAACTGTGTTATTGCTCCTTGACTTTTATTATACATGTAAGGGAGA